TCTGCCAGAGTGACCTGCACTCTGACAGCATTATGGACATGCTGGCAGTTGTTCAGCACAGACTTTCCATCGAAATTGGTTGCAGTGTGCATGCAGCTACTGTCACAGCGAAAGTAATTAGTTTTTACCTTGTCACACGTCTTCATTTTTATGTGAAAGGACTGAACAGTGACAAAGGAGGAAAATGGCAGAGGGCCAAGCAGCTGAGCTGTTGCACATGATGAAGTGAATAAAGTGTGTGTAAATCAGTGGTTGAATATTCTGCTCCAGTTTTGAAAATAGGAGCTTCATGTCAGGGGCAGAAGCTTGTGCATAGGCCTAACAGATGTGTAACTGTGTAATTATAGTTATTAAAAACCTCGAGAAAACTACTGTGCTATGTGCAACAACCGAATTGGAGCAAAATATATTTCAGCTACAATTTCATTTCATCATGGCACCTGTTGCTGTTTCATACGGTGCCTGTTGCTTGTTTCCGGCAAAATAAGTTTTTTGCGTTGATATCTGCAAGTTCGTCTCTATTTCGGAGTTCGCCGCACAAATTTAGTATAATAACACCACAATCTCATTTTTTAAGTGTTTCAGTGTTCTTTTAAAGCACGCATGCATGTGCTTAGATTTTCCTCTTCAATAAATTGATATAAGAAGAGCTTGGTGCCAACGGGTGGCGCCGACTAGTCCTCTCCTCTAGCACAGAAGTCGACATCGCATATTTTGTAGCAAACACAAGGCTATCACAACGCTTACGCAATCAGTCCATGTTTTTCAATACTGAGTGTCCACACCACACAGAACGTTAAAGAACACCACATGGTCAAAATTTCTGAAGCCCTCCACTGCTTTCCTCACAATCATATCATACTTTTATGACCTAAAAACACCACCATCATTATTCAGACTACACGAAATATGTGTATTCTTGTTAATTTGCAAACTGTTTATTTATTTATCTGGGCACAGACTAGCTCATTATTAAGTTTCGTTTCTACCAGTGTGACTGGGCGCTTTCTTCGTAGTCGCCGTCACATGACAACGCAATATAGGTGTAAGGAGCTTGTGGGGTGCACGCGTTCTCTCGCTCAAAAAACTTGATTGCATGTCAGTGAGTATATATAGCTATTAAGAAGAATAAATATCGGTAATAAGAAAAAAATAGCACGTTATGCGCTGAGCGTAGGCCTATACACACAATGTGTCACGAAAATTCCGGCCAGCGTTATTACTGCTGTACAACACTGAGTCGGTATTGCAAAACAATTTTTTATGGACAAGATTAAATTGCACACCGGTATTTGCGCCATCATGCGAAAGCTTCTTATTAAAGCTTTATAATAATATGATTATCTGCTAGCTAGCGGATCACCATCTTATCTTAGTCGGCAACCTCAGCAACGACTCCCAGCAATTACAGAGCTGACAAGCAAGCACTGCTGTCAGCAAAGTGTCTGAAGTGCTGTCCTTTTAGGCAGCTGAAACAAATCCTAATAAGCTATTATGAAGTAAAGTGTACCTTACTTTGGGACAAAAGTTTTGAGATACCAACAGCCATTTTAATAATATGAAATTGGGCACATTTCAGACATTTTCAAGCTGTCGCTTTTGCGTGTAGGCGTTCGCTACTAGATTCTGAGGGTCAATACCCACAAGTTTGCGTATGGATCGAAATATTCTAAAATTCAGTTAGCAAGGTCGGTATCGGACACGATCCTAGCGGCAGTATCTTGTACCTGTATTTCCACTATTTTTGACCGAGTATCTTGTGCAGTATCGCGATACAGTTTCACAGTATTTTTGCCCAGCCCTGGCCCCAACTGCGGTTTTTCTATGTATAACTTCTTGCGTATTTCAGCATCTCAAAGGAGCTGCCACTGATTTCTGATATTTCTATGAATTGTTTGCCTTGAATTTATGACAGAAACATGCAATGCACGGCCTTGTGCACTCATTACTGCACCTCGAGTGGCTTCCTCAGCAAGAAAGCTGCCCTTAATGTCTCTATGACCTGGCATCAAACTTATATTAGCATACTGGTTAAATGTGTGTGCTGCACACTAAAGTGAACGCACAATGTTTAGAATCCGGTTTTCATGTTTGTACAAAGGCGTTTTTGTGTTTGTAGTGTGATTGTACAAATCGCTTGAATAACATTCAACATGCTATTATTAATTTCTATGTATTGCTGTCAGTTATGTAAGTATTACACAGCGCCGACTGGCATTGTAAGTTTTTTCTATAGCTAAAGACACTGACAAGAAGTGCTGCTTACGTAGAAATGCATCACGTAAAATGGCCTGGACTCGAATGAAGTGATTGCTCGTTGACAACCCTTCTTTAAAACCACACTAGAATGGAGCAAGGTATATCGTTCGCCTGTAGAGAGTTTAAGACACCGTTAGTTACCATTCTCTCAAATATTTACAGACACCTGATGAGAGCTATGGGGCAGTAACTTGTCAGGGAAGATTGGTTTTTGCATTGTTTCAGGATTTCAATGACGATCGCTTCTTCTCATGCGTCCTGGAAAACATGCAGGAGCCCGTATGTTATTGAAAAGTGCAAATACTGGGAATTCAGTGTCTCAGTGCAAGTGCTTTATCATATCATACACTACTCCATTCGGACCTAGTGAAGAGAACTGTCATTTGTTCAAGACAGCTCAGCAAACTTGAGTGGAAAGTGTGCTGAACAGCACAAACACTTTTCGAGGTGTTTCTGATGTCCTGAAAATCTTGCATCCGTTTGAGCTCCCTGCTTCATTTAGAAATAGTTCCATGGGGCAATTGTCTTTGTTCATCAGTAGGTTACAGCAAAACGGAGGCATTTTCAGCAATATTATAAATATTTATATCAGAACAGTCTTCGAAGGGATCCTCGCTTCATCATTAACCTCATCCTCTGTTTCATCTCCTGACGAAGTGAGCACCCCTCCCGATGTTTGGAAACAGTTATATCATGGTTGACAACATCTTCATTGTGTTATAACCCATAAGTATATATACACCGACGAATATATATAACCCAGAAATATATACATTGATGCATTGCCTAAGCATGAATGTACATTTATATTTCAGAGTTGGATGGCGCTAAGAACTGCTGCAGTTTTATTCTTCATCTCTACAACCGCTTTGAGCATGGAACCACCAGGACAGTGTATTCGGAGAGAAGAGTTACCATTCCTGAAAGAACAGCGGTGCAGTGTCACAGTAAACAAAGGCTTTCTTAATGCACTGTGCAACATACTTCTCTGGAAACATTATACAAATGGCATTCGCGATGATCATGTTTTCAACAAAAACGTGCTGCTGCTGAAACTTGAGCTCAAATCTGAAGAGCCTGTCGAGAATATGACTCTTAATAATCAACCCGTGTGCCTCTCCCTAACGAAGATTTGGGTTGAAAAGTTGGACAACTTCCAAGGTAATCGCCACAACTATAGGGAATTCGATGCCGATGGACTGTTCTTTGGCCCATTAGCAGCAACCCTCATATTTGATTACATTCAACTAATGACTTTCCACACCACATTTTCCAAACCTCCGCACGTAGCTGCCGCTGTTTGCAACGAAATACGCCATCACGACAGTTGCCTGTTTGGCGTCTACGGTTTTCGACACACTAGCTACAATGCTACATCTCCTTTTGAATTCTATCAACAGTGGAACATCGATCTCAGCTTAACAGATACACTGAACATCACATTTTCTGAAGCACCAAACTATGACTACCCCCTTGACCTACTTCTACTTCTATGTTTCGCACCCGTGAAAAAGATATTGTGGCACAAAGGCAAAGTTGAACCCATTCTCGCTTTCCTCATCAGTTGTATTGAGGAGACGGAGTCCATTTCGTTTATTCAGAGCCCCATTCAAGAAATAGCACCACATGCATTTGTGCGTGCTCCGAACATTACTAGTATATCTTTTGTAGACACAAGGCTTTCTGGCATTCCTGAAGCCATATTTGAGCTACGACACCTAAACATAATCGATATGAGTCACACCAATGCGCCTGATGGTGTTGATTTTGATTATTGTCCTGCAAACTGTTCGCGCAACAGCACTGTAACACGGTTGATACTGAGCGGCAGCAAGTTGACCAGACTCCCCAATCGCGCATTTTGCTCGTTTCCGATGCTTGAGCAGCTCGCACTGGACAGCTGCCATTTACAAGATATTTCTGGGTCACCATTCATATGCTTGGCACTTCTGAAGAACCTGTCTATGTCTGGAAACAATATCACGTCCCTGTCCAACAACAATATAAAAGGACTTCGAAGCCTTGTGAACTTGGACCTAAGCAACAATGGCATCTCTACTTTTCAAGGATCCCACATTCTTTCGACCTTGGCGTCCTTACGAACTCTGTCACTCGCTGACAACTTACTTGGGAAATTAGATCTCTATTTGAGGAATAAAACAATGATTGAGGAGTTGAACATTGAGGGTAACCATGTAAAAGTCTGGGAGCCACCCCTTTTTTCACGAATGCTACGTCTAAGGCATCTCAGTTTTGCTCGCAACGACTTCACACTATTGGATTCTCAAATGCTACGTGACATACGACACGTTGACAACGTGGACTTTAGCTGGAATCGGTGGGACTGTTTCGCCTGCGATCTAAACAACATACAGACACTTCTGCAGAAGCACAAGCCGAAGTGCAGTAACTGCTTTTCATGTGCGACACCTCTTCAGCTATATGGCCAGAATGTCAGTAATGTGCCTTGGAGGGAAGATGACTGTGGTCCTCCCGATTACTATCGCTTGTACGCCGTTCCTGGTTTGTTGTCATTCATGATCGCTACCCTACTCATTAATATTGCATATCGAAAGCGCTGGTACATAATGTACGGCCTTCTTTACCTAAAGGTAACCATTAAAGGGTACAGAAGGCAAAGAAATGTCGGCAGCTTCTTATGGGACGGTTTTCTGTCATACCACGTCTCGGACGCCGACTGGGTTCGTGACGTAGTACTACAGAGACTCGAGTCATCCCCTATGAGGTTCCGACTGTGTGTCGCCGAGCGAGATTTCATTCCCGGAATAGAAATCACCGAGAACATCTTCCGAGCCATCACGCAGAGTCGTACTTCTCTGTTCGTAATAAGTCGCGAGTTCTGCCGTAGCCGTTGGTGTATGTTCGAGCTAAGCCTTGCGCAGCATCGCCTTTTCGAAAGCGACCGGCAAAAGGGGTTGGTGTTGGTCAAGAAGAAAGATGTGGGCGAGGCTGACATGAGCCCCTTGCTCCAGTACCTCACAAAGACGCGAACATACGTCGAGATCCCACCGGCTGGATCAAGCGAGGCACTCAAGAACCTGTTCTGGCTGCAGTTGCAAGCGGCACTGGAGAGGTAACGAAAATCGAGAAGTAGACGGACTTAAACCACCTTTCTCGAAGGATTCTAGCAAGTATGTGAATATAAATGGCATCAATGAACGTATTACTGTGGGAGAGCATCTGCTACCTTGATGATAACAAAACAAAGTGGGTGCTTAGGCTGTTCACCAATGCGAAAGGTCTTCAAAAACTTCTTCTGTGGCCAACAGCGTCGTCAGTCAAGAAACCACCATAACAGCAGAATGGTAATGTGGGTTCCAGATACCAAGATTACTTCGGAGCACTGTTTTTTGATCGCATCTTAGAAAGACTGAAGGCAGAGAAAGCTGACTCCTACTAAACCCAATGTAAATGTTAAATCTTACGAGTTAAAGAGCAGGAACTGGCACAACCGACGCTCCTTGGAACAAGTGTGTTGTACCATTAACCTCACTGCCATCATACTGCAGGCTCACAGTGCCGTGTTCTGGTGTTGTTTCATTTGCTCAATGCATAAATGACAAATAAGTACATGCCATCGCTATCTTTATTCATGTGATGTCTTATCTTTCAACGTTGTCTTCTGACTTTACGTGTGTGGAACACAATGGCCATAGCCATGTCAGAGACTACACGTATGTGAAGAAAGCATTTATACTTGTGGAATGAACTTTTGTTACAGCATGCCTGCTTTGAAATAACACGTAACTCAACTAATATAACCTGGGTATATTTAAGTTAGCCCCGAGAACAAACGCACACGTCACTGCTTGAGCGGTAATGTACGCCATGGGAAGTACTCGCCAGCTCAGATGCTGCTTTTCACCCTTTTCTGCGTAAGTTGCGTGCCGCTTTTTAGCGATATGATGGTGATTATTTCCGAATGTCACGATGTAAATCCTTCTGTAGAGGTCGCCACCCTTCAGTCATTTAGTTCGGTTGCCACTAGCATGTGGCGCCCTTGAGATTGTATATATTCTGCCCCGAATAAAGTGGGAGGGCCCCTTTTTCCGTTAGCTGAGCAGCTGTTGTGCGTATCGTCTCTATCGCGGGAACGTGCCGGAGCACGAGGCACGGGCCGCTCGGGCTCCGGCACGTTCCCGCGGCACCAGTCACAAGACATGGTGTCAGAAGTAGGATCGTAACGCCCCCTCATCCCGAACTCGCCTGTACCGCACGACGATGGCCCTCGACGGAGTGGCGCCGAAAAAGCTCAGCCTCAACCTCCAGCCGCCCGCACCGTTCGACTTTGTGAACCCGGGAACCTGGCCAGCATGGCTCAGCCGCTACGAGGACTACGCCGTCGTTTCCTGCCTGACTCAAGCATCCGGCGACATGCAGGTACGCTCGTTGTTGTACTGCATGGGGCCGGAGGCCCGCCCACTTCTTGAGACGTTCTCGCTCGACAACGCATCACTCGCCTCATTTCAAGCGGTTGCCGCCAGCTTCACCGACCACTTCGTGCATCCGGCGAATGAACTGTACGAGTCGTCGCGTTTTCACCGGCGTGTTCAGTTACCCGACGAGAGCGTCGACGCCTACTACGCCGAACTGTGTAGAATGGTGAAGCGGTGCAACTATCCGTCAGCTGAGGTGGAGCAAAGGCTTGTACGCGATAGATTCCTCGTCGGCCTCCGCGACTCACGCCTTTTGGACCAGCTTTGCCGGAACGCGAAGTTGACGCTCAAAGAAGCATGGACGCAGGCCCGTCATTCAGAAGAGGCCGACAAAGAAAAAACGTTGCCTCAAAACTGCGCAGAGCACTCCCGCGAGCTACACCTCGACGCCGTACGAGATAAGAAGTTCGCCTCTCACCGCCGCAACTACGATAAGCGGCCTTCGCCCCCGCGGAAAGCAGAGCGCTCCTGCCAGCCGTCAACATGTGAATTCTGCAGCCGCGCGCCACATCCACGTTCTAGCTGCCCTGCTCGAAACTCCGTCTGCAACTTCTGCAAAAAGAAAGGACACTTTGCGGAAGTGTGCTGCGCGCGGCAGGCAAAACAGAAGCTCGGCTCCATTCAGCTACACGCTGTCGGGATGCTCGTCGCGGCAAAGTTCGTCGACATCACCGTTGACAACTACACAGCGCAGTTCAAGGTCGATTCCGGAGCCGAGGTGTCCGCCGTTCCGAGCGACTTCCCTGCAGTGCCGGCCAAGCTCGACCCCGTCAACAGCCTGCTCACCGGACCTGGCCGTCAGCCGCTGCGCGTGCTGGGTTCGTACATGGCGAGACTTCGGTGGCACGGGAAAATGAGCTCTCGGCGCTTGTACGTGATCCAGTCTCTCGCCGTACCTCTTCTTGGACTGCCGGCGCTTCAAGCTCTGGAAGTTGTAAAGTTTCTCGACGAACTTCAGACTCCGAAAGCAACATTGCGTGCTGAGCTCTTCCAGGGATTGGGAACCCTCAAGGACGAGTACACTATCCTTCTGAGACCTGGCGCCGTACCCTTCTCCCTAAGTGTGCCTCGCAGGATTCCCATCCCGCTACGCGGGGTCGCCCGTCACGAGCTTGACAAACTGGAGGAAGGAGGCGTGATCCGCAGGATCGACAACCGAACCCTGTGGTGCTCTAGTCTCGTTGTAGTACGGAAAGCCGATGGTTCCTACCGGCTGTGCGTTGACTTGACTCAGCTGAACAAGGTTGTCCTTCAGGAACGCCACATCCTACCAACTGTAGAGCAAGTCCTTGGCGTCCTTGGCGACGCAACAGTTTTCTCCAAGCTGGATGTAACAGCCAGTTTTCATCAGGTTAAACTATCTGCAGACTCCCAAGAGCTCACAACTTTCATCACACCATTTGGCCGATACTGCTTCTGCCGGCTCCCCTTTGGCATCACCTCCGCGCCGGAGTACTTCCAAAAACAGATGGCCAGGATCGTGGAGGGCCAGGAAGGAGTCGCCAATATGATAGACGACATTCTGGTCTTTGGGCGCACCCGCGAGGAGCAAGATGCCAGACTGAGCCAGGTGCTGTCTCGCCTTGCAAAAGCAGGCATCACGTTGAACCAAGACAAGTGTCGTTTTGGTGTCTCCGAAGTCTCCTTCCTAGGAGTCATCGTTTCAGCACAAGGCATCAGGCCAAGTTCAGACAAGGTCGAAGCAATCAAAGCCATGGAGGCTCCAACCGACATCGCAGGTGTCCGGCGACTGCTCGGAAAGGTGAACCATCTTGCCCGGTTTTTGCCTTGCATATCAGAGGTCACAGCTCCCATCAGAGCACTTTTAAACAAGTCTGCGACTTGGGTGTGGCAGCATGAACAAAAGACTGCATTCGAGAAAATCAAGGAACTCCTGACATCAGACCGTTGCATGGCCAAGTACCATCCATCATACGCCACCACAGTTTCGGCTGACGCAAGCTCATTCGGACTGGGCGCAGTCTTGCTGCAGACACAGCCCTCTGGAGAGCGCCGCCCAGTTGCGTTTGCTTCGAGATCAATGACCGAGACAGAGCAGCGTTACAGCCAGACAGAAAAGGAAGCGTTGGCAACAACATGAGCTATCCAACGGTTCGTCCGCGGCATCACTTTTGATGTTGAGACAGATCACCTACCACTCGTTTCTCTCTTCGGCAAGATGGAGCTGGATATGCTGCCGCCTCGCATACAGAGGCTCAGGTTAAAGACCATGCGATACCAGTTCCGAAAGCTCCACGTGCCAGGAAAGCTGTTAGCTACGGCAGATACCTTGTCACGCGTCACCCAAAAGGCGTCCCTCCCCCTGGACACCGTGGAATCGTTTGTAGCTCAAGTGGTCAGCGGCATGTCAGAAGCCTTGCCACTAAGCCCAGAGGACGTGCGACAAGCACAAGAGTCCGATGGCAAATGCAGAGCCCTCGCCTCCTTCTGCCAGAATGGTTGGCCACAGAAGTCCAAACTGCCACTGCACCTCTCCCAGTATGCCTCAGCAGTAGACGAGCTCTCTGTCTGCGACGGTGTTCTACTGAAAGGCGCCAGGATGGTCATCCCGCATTCTCTTCGGCCGGCTGTTTTGACGCTGTTGCACGAAGGACACCAAGGCATCAACAGGACGAAAGCTCTCGCTCGAGAGTCCATTTGGTGGCCTGGCATTTCGGCAGACATTACCTCTCTGGTAACTAACTGCGAGCAATGTGCTTCCACTCGGGTGAACCTCGCAGAGCCCCTGGTCTCCACGGTCCTACCTGGACGTCCCTGGGAACTTGTCGGCATGGACCTGTTCCACCTCCGCAGCCAGACATTCATCTTGGTGGTGGACTACCACTCCAGGTACCCTGAAGTTGTAACCTTGAGGAGCACAACGGCTCAGGCAGTCATTGACGTTCTCAAAAGCATCTTTGCCCGGCATGGGATTCCGCGAGAAGTCAGATCAGACAACGGTCCACCGTTCTCTTCACGCGAGTTTGCAGCATTGGCGGCATCTTACGGCTTTGACCACGTCACCAGCAGCCCGCACTATGGGCAATCGAATGGAGAGGCGAAGAGAATGGTCAGGACCATCAAGGAGTTGTTTCACAAAGCAACAGACCCTCATCTGGCCTTGCTCAGCTACCGGGACACCCCCGGAGTCGATGGCTTCAGCCCGGCCAAGCTCTTGATGGGACGACAACTTCGAACCAAAGTGCCGAAACAGGACTCCCAGTTATGTCCTCACTGGCCGTCGAGGAAAGACGAATAGAAAAGATGCAGCCTACAAGCAGAAACAGGCCGCTGACTTTAACAGGCATCACAGAGCTCAAGATCTGTCATCGCTCCGAACAGGCCAGTGTGTCTGGGTACGACCTGATCAGGTCAAAGCTACAGTGCTCAGCCCAGCACGCCGACCACGAAGTTATGTCGTGGAAACGGAGCAGGGTGGCGTCCTACAATGCAACCGGCGTCACCTAGTGCCTTTTGCACCTCCTGCGCCAAGGGTGGAACCACCGCCGTCTGAGGAGCAGGAGCCACAGCGAACACTGCCCCCTCTGGAACCCCAGCGAACTACTACAGTGCAACCACCCGATTCCCTTGGACTGCCCCCTGCAGACAGCGACCGCAGTGATGGTGTGACACGAACACGTAGTGGCCGCCGTGTTGTGCCTCCGAACCGCCTGAACTTGTGATGTGCAGTGTCTGACGTCCCCCGTCTTCCATCTGGTCTTCAAGGGGGGAGATGTAGAGGTCCCCACCCTTCAGTCATTTAGTTCGGTTGCCACTAGCATGTGGCGCCCTTGAGATTGTATATATTCTGCCCCGAATAAAGTGGGAGGGCCCCTTTTTCCGTTAGCTGAGCAGCTGTTGTGCGTATCGTCTCTCTCCGCGGGCACGGGCCGCTCGTGCTCCGGCACGCTTCGCGGCACCAGTCACAAGACACTTCAAGATACCAGTTGGATGGTTTTGTAACTAGCAAGGGTAATTTATTGTGTGGAAAGTTTTGACAAAAGGCTTAGGATAGGCAAACTGCCGTAATAACGAGAAACTCGCAGTAAAAATGGTGATACAGGACAGCAAGAGGTTTGTTGTTTTCACTGCGTACTTCAAAACTTGGTACTGTAAAAATATGCCAAGTGGTTCTAAGTTCAATACAGCTAGGCAAAAAGGTCAGGGTCAAAATATGTCTGCCGAAGTATTTGCAATGATATTCGCATGCTTTCAATTCACTAACTGCATTGCAGTTTACAGTGAAAGTCACGTTTGTCTTTGCAAAAAACCTGAGTGGTCTGGCAGAATTGCACTTTTTCAAACAGATGGCTTAACATAAACTTGTCGGCCATAAACAATCACTAAAAATATTTGAAAATTTGCACAAAATAACACGGCAGCAGACACATTTCATAAATGCAAAGACGTCTGTTTACTCGTATCTTATGCAGAGACTTCTTTCAACAGTGTACAGGGATTATGTGGTCACAGAACTTAGTTTGCGTGAAATATTCGTAAGATCGATCTACTGCTGCATCACAAAGAGTAATGTTTACTTCAGGTGTGACGATTGCAGATATCAATGTTTGTAAAGTAAACGCCACGAACAAAGTGAACTTTCTCGATGGCGAACTCAGCTTAAGCTCAAGCACTAATTAAACATCATTCACTTTACTGAGACAATGACTGGTTTTACGAGTCATGCGTATGTACAGGTTCATGTTCAAGGGTAATTAAATAAAAACTGATTTACGAAGTGGCTATCTGAAGTGGTTCTTAAGAACAGCACCTCCGATGTAGTGCAATGACGAAATCTGACAGTGATAAAAGTTCCTGCACTTAATCCTAACTACATCTAACCTCAATAAATTCGGTGAAACAAACCTCCAAATTAATTTCGAGAAAAAGAAGAAACTGAAGAACATTCACTGTAATATGAAAAACCCTCCGGTGAGAATTTTGGCTTGTCCTCTAGATCACTCCCCTCTATATATCTTTTTATGCCCTTGAATTGGCAGTAAAAAAAAACGCCCAAAGCAGGGCATACGTAGGGCATTGATTGGGCAAATACTTCACTCTACTTGTGGTTTAATGAAAAGAACCCCGGAATTTAATGATTCTAACTTGGGAGTATTTTCGGCATAATTAAAGCATTATGCCGAAAAAAAGTTTCAAAAGGCAGACCGGGAGTATTTTAGTCACGTGACCACTCTGTTTTTGTCTTTTTTTAATTAAAATGCGAAGGATACAGGTGGAATGTACGGCATTTAGCTCACCTCTCTTGGGAGCACTTCTGCTATTGAATGGGAGCAACCCCTGCAGCCGGATAACTCCCTCTGAGCAAGTACTCTTGCAAGGCTGCATCATAAAAGAAAATAATTAGATGCGAACAAAAGATTATTTACAGCCTAAACATCAAAGCAAAAGACTGAACTTTTCAGAGTTCTTGTTTATACATTACGAGAATACACAGACTGAAGACTGACAGAATATTTATTATGTATGTTACCATTTTAGATAAAGTACAGCTCTTGTGTTCATTTTCCAGGAGTGAGCATAATTATTGGCCACAGGACTTGTAGGCACCAACACACCAAATACCATCACATAAAGCACCTAAAGTACAAACACTACAAACACAAAGTTATCATTGGTACCATACGATTGAAAAGATGAAATCAAACAAAATACAGACATTGAAACACACTTTGCCAATCATATTATAGTATCTGACTAGGAATCTGCAAAACTTCTATGGGAAGACCACTTAATTCAGTAAAAAGTGCATTTCTGCAGCTTTGGTGCTGTAAATTACCAGGCCCAATAATATACATGTAGAACCTAATTATAATATGTGATGAGATGAACTTATGGCACTTGTTTGAATTAAATGCTACACCAGTGACTAAAGTTCCCTTAGAGATTTATGGACATTTTTGCCGTAGCACACATCTAACATATAGATAAAACGGGCAATCCTCAAATTCATCTATACATTCTTCTCTAGCAAAATAAAAAAAAACCTGAACGCATTATTGTATCAGCTTTATTGTTATAACAAAACCATTTTCACCAAACTATCCCAAATCAGCTTCAAATCACAACAGTACCAGAGATGTTGAAGTGTGTACTAAAATCAATTTGTTGCGGCAGTACTATTGGCAACCACATTGGTCAAGCTCAAAGAAGGCATCCATGAGCATATGAAAATACGCACATTTCACAGAACTGGGTAATGCATTAAAAGTACTAACAGAACATACAACATTAGCAAACGGAGCAGGACAAGCATATGCAAAGTGCACAGTTTTTTCTGTTTAATTTACTCATGTATGCTCTGGTAAAGCTTTCTAATGAATACATTAAAATTGTCTAAGCTTCGAATTTTCTAGCATAGTCCATTTAAAATGACAATGGGGAAAACGAGCACAGATACACAACAAATTAAAAAAGAAATGAAGCATTATAACACCAGGACTTACACTTCACACTAATAAAACGTTACTGGCATCAGCTAGCATGCTTGCACTTGGGTCAAGCCATTTCAAACCATTCAGCGTTTTTCCAACCACCACGAATATGTCTGAAAAAAGTTCCTCGTGTTTCTCTTCAAAACACATGGAGTTTGAAGCTTGTCCCGCATATTCATAAGTCTGCAGTTCTGCACCCACTGACCTGGAGGGCGTCAAAAAAAGCATTTTTTTTTTTCAAGAGATTTTTCAAGAATGCAATCGATAAAATGGTATTTACGGCAAGGTAAGGAAGTGATGAAAATAACGACTTATTTATGTATATTGATTCTTCTAGGGCTTTTCACACAAGCAAAATGCAAGAATTTCTCGAATCCCATATTTTTTCCAGGATCATGGCAAGCTCAATGAGCACAAATATAATATGTGCAGGCACCCTGTTTGACATGCTACAAATTAAAGTAATTTAGGTGCTCAGGGTGTAGCAATTATCTGAAAAAAAAAATGCAAATTTCACTTTTTGAAAAACTGTATTCAGCTTCAAAAAAAACTTTCCTTCGTGTCAGACTAAAAATATGCACGATATCTCATTTCAAAGTGTTATGTATGAGCTAAACATAGGTGCAGTTGCTAGAGAGTATTGTTTTTT